ATGGCAGTACAACACATTACAGAGAATAGCAACAACGACGTGAAGGGTAGCTTCCTAGAAGCGACCTCGTCCGGTAGGGTTCGTCATGAGCTGCAGGTGACACCAGACCGTCATCAAGCTAATGCGCTGAAGAACCAACATCTGCTTAAACTTACTACCTGGATTGCTAGAACAATGAATAAAACTGGAAAGTTGGAAAACATCAAGGAAGAAATGAACAGATTACACATCAATATCATGGGCATATCTGAGATGAGATGGACAGGAGCTGGAGCTATATCATCAGAAAACCATAAGATCATATACTCAGGAGGCGAACAGCACGAACGAGGAGTTGGCATCATCGCAGACTCGAAAACATCTAAGGCTTTACTAGGATACTGGGCCGTTTCTGACCGCATTCTGTTGGCAAGGTTTAAGCATAATTCAATTATATGCACCCACTACTAAGAGCAGTGACGAAGACATAGACAGATTTTATGCCCAGTTAGATCAGGCATACTCGCAGTGCAAATCCCAGGATATCATCATTGTTATGGGGGATTTCAATGCTAAAGTTGGTAACGAGAGGGTAGACAACATCGTGGATCCTCATGGACTCGGAAGCCGTAATGAGAGAGGGGAGATGCTGGTGGAATGGGTGCAAACGAACAACATGATAATTGGAAACACCTGGTTTAAGCAACCACCAAGAAGACTGTGGACATGGTTGAGTCCGGATGACCACACCCGGAATCAGATTGATTACATTCTTGTTAATAAACACTTTCGTAACTCTCTTTTGGCATCCAAAACGTTACCAGGAGCAGACTGTTACAACGATCATGTTCCAGTGATGGGTCGATTTAGGGCCAAGATGAGAACACTGAAGAAACCTACCCTAAGGGAACAACTAGATGTATCATTACTCCAGAAAGATAACACTATAAAGGAGAAGTACACTGTAGAGGTAAAGAACAGGTTCAGTGTTTTAGAGGATCTTGATTCCATCGAGGATCATTGGAAGGGCTTGAAGGTTTCGATCATGGATGCAGCAAACAAAGTGCTACCAAGGGTAAGAAGAACAACAAAGAAGAAATGGATGACAGATGAAATATTGCTCCTTATGGAGAGAAGGAGGGCTTCTAAGAACAACAAAGAAGCTTATCAACATCTAAACAAGCAAATTACCATCAAATGCAATGAAGCAAAAGAAGCTTGGCTTACTGAAAAATGCAAAGAGGTTGAGAAACATCATAACTCTGATTCAAGAGCCATGCATAAAAAGATCCGTGAAATTACCAACATTAAGACTCAATCATCATCAGGATGTCTTAAATCAAAGATGGGGGGCACCATCATGGAACGTGACAAGATCCTGGAGAGGTGATCAGAATACTTGAATAAACTCTTTGATGATGAGAGGAACACAGAACATACTATCGACTTAGAAATGAGTGGTCCACCCATCATGGAAGATGAAGTAAGGCATGCTGTAAGAAAAATGAAAAAAGGTAATGCTCCAGGGCCTGATAACATCACTCTAGAAATGATACAAGCCCTTGATGAATATGGCATCAACTTACTGACATCTCTGTTGAACAAGATCTACAAGTATGATGCCACTAGACCTTTTAAAGTCTGTCTTCATCGCCCTACCCAAGAAGCCAGGAGCAACAGAATGTGAAAACCATCGAACCATAAGCCTGATGAGTCAAGTGACAAAAATACTGAGGATTATCACCAACAGAGTCAGGAATAAAATTAAGCCGGAGATCGCTGAAGAACAATGCGGTTTTGTGGAAGGAAAGGGCACGGCCAATACTATATATATTCTGCAAAACATCACTGAAAGGTCACTGGAAGTACAGAATAACATCTACATGTGCTTTATAGATTATACTAAAGCATTCGACAAAGTAAGACACGATGAAATCATTAACATCCTAGAGTAACTGCACATAGACGGAAAAGACCTCCGTATCATCACGAATGTATATTGGGAACAGATAGCAGCTATGAGGGCCGACAACGAGATCGGAGGGTACCAGAAGATCAGACGAGGGGTACGCCAGGGATGTGTCTTATCACCAGACCTGTTTTCAATATATAGTGAAGTTATAATGTGCAGTTTGGAATGCTTAAATGGAATTAAGATAGGTGGTAACAACATCAACAACTTACGTTACGCTGATGATACAGTCCTGCTGGCAGAGACAGAAGAAGATCTGCAGTCTATGCTAAATACAGTCATCACTGAAAGCGAAAGGAAATAACACCAAAACCAAGACAATGGTCGTCATCAAGAAGGGGCAAATATCAACATGCAACATAACTGTGAACAGGACCATCCTTTAACCAGAAGAAAAATTCAAGTATCTTGGCGCATTAATTACAACTGATGGGCGTTGGCTAACCAAGGTTAGTTGTCGCATAGACCAAGCAAAAGCGGCATTCCAGAGCATGAGCAATATAATGAGGAATTGTAACATCTCTTTGGCATTCAATCCTTCGTTACAAG